AGAAAGGGGGGAGGTTAAAAGATGGAGTGAGATAAAGTAGGACCAGTGAAGTTGGTAGCTAAGGGTACATCTACACAGCAATTTAAAAAAAACCTGTTGTACCAAGTCTCAGAGCCCATGTCAGCTGACTTAGGCTTGCGGGGCTCGGGCCGCAGGGCTATACAATTCCAGTGTAAATGTTTGGGGTCTCCGAGCCCGAATGTTTACCCTGAAATTTTATAGCCCTGCAAGCCTGAGTCAGCTGACCCGGGCCAGTCGTGGCCATGCCACAGGCTTTTATTGCAGTTTAGACATACACTAAGGGGGATTGGGGTAAGGGAGAGGTTGGAAGTGAAAAGTAAAAAGGCAGGTGTAATGGAGACTGATTGTGTTTTTGTATGATGAACTGAATTGATTATTCTAAAAATTGCTTACCAAGTTCATGACCAAATAAAGGTACCTCTTGAAACTGTTAATACTTAAAAATTGGAGCTGGAACGCCTAACAAAGTCTGTAAGTGAGTGGACATATAGATTGTTGATTTCATGTGCATCTACATGATAGGTATTTAAAATATGGTGTGTTTGTGTTTCTGATGTCTTTTTGTTTGTTTGTTTTTTCTATTTCAGTGGGTGGGATGAAATGTTGGTAACCTCAGATAATGCTGTAGGGTAATAATACGAGTTATCTTTTTGTGACAGTTTAAGATCAGTTAGGTCAATACTTAATCCATCTCTATTCCTCAATCAAAGATGTTACAACAGACCAAAAGGCAAAGCTCTAACCTAATATCTTTTAACGAACTTTCTAAGGTAGGGATCTATCTTCAGTGAGTAAATAGGACTTAGATAAAAAACCTTTACATTCACCTTTATCAGTACCAGAATTCAGGGATACTTTCTTGCATTGGTTAGTGAAATTAACACAGTACAGGTGTGCAGTCTTTAGACACTTGTGCAATAGTGATATGCAGTAGCAGGGGGGGAAAACATACCTTGAAAGAGTTTTGATCAGAAAGTCAAGGAAGACATTACAACACTTTTAATTTACACTTGAATATATTTTAAAACTAAAGTGGATATATTCTGTTTTGTTTGCTTATTTTATCCTACATGGATTTATTTTATTGTCAAAAATTTATACATACCTGTCTGGGGAATGTGTCATAGGTACTTAGTCTCAACTTTGTGTATATTTTGTTTTTATTGGAGTATTTACCTGCTTCTGACATTTGGAATGAGTTATCTATATTAAATATCAGGACTAGTGCTAGCACCTAATGCCAAAACATTTGGATGATGGAAGAGAATAGTCAACAAAATGATTTTAGGGGGAAAAGATAAACGAAAGGCAAATGTGTTCAACCAGAAACAGGGCCTTTCCAGCTACAGAAAAGATTCTCTGTTTCCAGAAGTGCTAGTTGAGTTGTCAGGGTGGCCTGCACAAAGGTGAGAAGATGCAAAGCAAGGAACCCTTGCTTTGAAAATGTTGCTCTCCCCCCCCCCTTTTGTGTGGGAGTTTGTCCTACTTAGACTTCTAAAATGAACTACAGCTCATTTTTTACATTTCAAACAGCTGGATCTTTTGATTTTCCAAATTATTGACCTCTAAACTAATTAACTAAATGTGACATTAATTAAAGAGAGACTTCGCTGTGGGCTTAACAGCACAAGTTTACTTAACGCTATTCCCTGTGCTATAATAAATGTTTGTGCAAAACAATGGCTGTCTACAGTATGAGCTGTTGGTGTGATTTCCCCTGCTTGTGTACAGGTACTTGCGCTAGCTCTCATCCAGCTAGTGGAAATATAAATACTGCAGTGTTGCCACGGTAGCATGGGTAGCAGCAGTAGAGGCACAGCTGAGCCATGCAGAGTATAAAGCTGCCTAAACCTGTGGGTATGTACTCCACACAGCTTAGTGGCCTTCGCTGCCACTACGCTTGCTACTGGGGCAACACTTCCAATTATATTCACGCTGGTTCGATGAGAGCTAGTGGGAGTGCGTACACAAGCAGGGGAATCACATTCCTGACTCTTATTGTAGATTTAGCCTAAGTAGTAACTGAAAATTGACACAGTAGTTTTGAACTCAACTGAAAACTTTGAAAAGTGCTTGGGGAAATAAGTTAGTCAAAGGCAAAATAATTAAGAGAAGGCACCCTTTTCTCAGTAGTTCATAAATTATTACAAATGATGGGGAAATATATATCGAACAAAGTATTTGACAGTGTTTTTAAATTGTAAAGAAATAAAAAAACTCTGTACTGAAAGATCTTTTAATTAGGTTGCACCAAAGGAATAAGGCATTTTTAATTAATTAGATAAATGTTACTTCTGGATCAGAGGAACCAAGCAGGAGACTCTCTTTTTGTTCTGGGTTTGTACAGTGTCTGTTATAATAGAGTCCTGGTCTATGATTAGGGCTCCTAGGTACTATGGTAGTACAAGTAATAAGCAATGCTAGTCAGAACTTCTTGACTGCTTATGTGATTCCAGCCAATATATTTTTCTTTTGGTTCTGTAGATTTCCTTAATAAATGCTTGAATTCAGTGAAGAAGTAGGAAAATTTTGGTAGGCAATACCCAAGAAAATCCAGTATAATAGAGATTAGAGAATGCAGATCTTTTAAAACATCAATGTTACCTGCAATGCTGTGGCAGTGTTTTGTGTACTACTGTTTCTGATGAAGGCATGTGTCCTGAAGGAGACACAAATGAAGGCTCCACTCTTCTGGTAACAGTACAGTCTTGGAATAGCATTACTAACAGTAACAGTAATAATCTTTCAAATTTCATGCTTATGAGAATGGAACATGGGCAAAATAAAGTTCAGAGCAATGTATAGGATTGATCTACAACTATAGAGACCTCCAGCTCCTCAGTTTTGTTTGTTAAAGCATTTGTTAAGTGTAACCTATGTATTTAGTTACATTGTTACCCTTTCGCTCTTTTTGTAGGTCTCTGTGGGACTATAATTGAGGTATTTTTAATGTTGAAAACTGGGTAGGCATGGCAATGTACATTTAATCTTTTGCAGCAAAATAAAAAATACAATAAAATGTTAATGACTTATAAATGTGGCTAATTGTTAGACAGTGACTTACACAACATTTGTGTTGAATGAATGTAGATTAACAAGAATTTACTACAAATTGTTTGAAAAGTGCTAATTGAACAAAACCATGTTCTTGGAGATGAAATTGTGTATATATCAAGTTTTTTTTTCTTTAAATATTAAATTGCAAAGTACTAGTGAAGTGGCTCACAGTATTATCTATCTACCTATCTATCCATTGTTTCCTATGAATATCTGTGCAGGTAAATTCAGTCATTAGAAATTTAGATTATCCAAATTCAGAAGCGTCTTCCAAAACTGAAATTTTGCAATTTCATTCTTTCCCCAAAAATCTTCTTCCACACACAAGGATTTTTCATCGCTTCCCTGAGCTTTTCAAATACAAGTTTATCTTTATTTAAATAGGTTACTAATCTGCTGTTGATTTTGCTCCGGCCTAAAATTTGTTCTTAGACATTTTTATAGGAGCATAATGTTCTGTCTTGTCTGTCTTCAGTTTCATTGATACAATCAGTGTAAAAATCAACCTAATTGACTTAAATTCCCAATTTTCTAGTATTGAGAAAAGAAAGTTTGTGTTTAGGTTGCTCTTTCAATAATTCAGCTCAAAAGTAAATATTCTGCTAGTGCTGGTTGAATACATTGAGTGCTCACTGGGGATGGAAATAATGAATTAAAATAACCAAAATCATATTCTTCATGAAGAAGTGTTCTTTTACGACTTTCAGTTAAGCATTTGCTTCAGAAAAATTAACTATGTACTCATATGCTGACTTCAAAGATTTAATAGTTTGTAGTTTAATATGCTCAGTAATGACATCTTGAGAGGACTGAGTTTTAGCAATGGAAATTGCCAAGAAATCAACACTGCTGCTTAAATTCAAAATGCTAAATTTGCTACAAAAAACTTGCTGTTGGGGAATTTATAAAACTGAAAGTTTATCCAGTCTATCAACAGAAAGATAACAACATTTGCATGTGCAATTTTGAACATGTTCAGTTTTTTTCATGTTTTCAAGTTTATGAATGACCAGAAACCCTGATGTGTGAAAGAAAACAGCATTTGTATACCTTGTTAGATAAACATCTGTTTATACAAACGCAATGTTTGTGAAGTGTCAATTACTGTGTATGGGAAAATGCACATCCACAGCATTCTGGGAGCAACTGATTCCTTGGGATCCAACAGAGAACAACAAAAGCAAGGAAATTTGCATCTTCATTTTCCTCCATAATTTTAGGGATAATTGTGTTTCTAAATCATTTCATTGCTCTGCCCTCTCATATTTTAGTGTTGCAAACAACCCAATTGTAGTTTTACTTGTTCTCGTGCCCCTTCTTTTTCTAAGTTTTCCCTAGTTTTGAAAGTTCCTTTGAAGGCCATTCCTTAGAGGTAGAAAATATACGAAGTGTTTGTTGGGGGTGAGGTTAGTGTCTCTGATGGGAATAGGATAGACAGTAGTGATAGCCACTCGTGTGCACTCTCATGAGATTTTTCCATACCTTTTGTCTTCCCTCAAGTGTACTCAGTAACTTTGTGTGCAACAAATCATTTCTTTTCCAAATTAATATGTATAAACCAATCATTAATTTCACTTATCCTTGTGTGTGTTTGCAGATAGAAAATTGCTCATTGTTTTTGTGGTAGTTGATGTGTACTGTAATATGCTACATTTATAGTTTTTAAAATATTTGTCCTTAACACAATAATGCAAAACAAATTTTAACATGAAGCATTAAAGAACTGGTTGCAGTCTTTAAGTAGACTCATTTACCAAATCTGAAAGGTGTATGATTATAGATTGAATAGCAAATTTTAGAAATGGAACTTTAGAAACCATTTTTAAAAAAACAGTAAAATCATATGGGGAGTATATAACTGTATTTAAGATATAATTCACTATCTAATGGTTGCTAATTGTCATTAATATTTTTTTCTTCAGGTTCGATCTGTGGATGAGATGAATCATGAGTTTCAAGCTCTTGCACTAGAATCTCGGGGAATGGGAGAGGTAAATATTTGTAGGTGATTAGAAAATCCTGTTGGAGGACTGGAAATTCTAATAAAATTTAGCTTGTTTAGATTCTTAGCTTGGTTAGTGAAGTTTTTTGATCTGTGACAACCCAATTTTTCAGGCATCTAAAGACCATATTTACAATATCTAAGGTGGTGTCTAAGTTAACTCCAGAACTAAGAACTATGATAAATGGAGCTATCATGTTAACATATTGGGCTTGTTAGCTGATAAGCTTGGGGAAGAAGAGCAGGCAATGTAAAGATTGTGAAAAATTCTCTGCTGTTGCTTTCTAAGAAGTTATTTCCACTAACCCAAGCTGGGGGGTTTGAGCTTTTGCAGGATTCCTGGACCCAAAGAAAAATAACAGTTATAAACTGGCTGGAAATTAGGGCAATTTATTATACCCTTAGTGGCATGGCTTCTTCAGTGGACAACCTTAGTGCTGATAGACCAGTGCATGTGCCATGGCCTAGGAAGGAGGAACAAAAACTTCCTTCCAGAATGAGAGGTGCAATTGTAAATAATTTGAAATACTCTGCTGGTTAAAAATAGCCTTTTCCTTCACTCAAACTATATTAACACCCACAGAGTGAGAGACTTTAAAAACACTATTATAAAGTCTCTTAGGAAATTCAGAGAAATGCATACTGAAAGCTAGACTTATTACTCTACTTGCTGAGGATCTGACAGTTCTGCAGCTAATAAAGAGTCCATGTACATCACATTAATGAAGGGCTACCTTGTCTCTTTGCTGACGTGGTGGAGGTGAAATCTGAAAAAAGATGTTGATATGCAGGGTAGCTTTAGGAGGTTATAGGAATCGGGTGTAAAGATCAAATCAAAAGTGATTGGCTCATTTAGACAATACAGTGATAAATATGGGTTATTCAAATGGCACACAGGCCACTTGAGAAAATATTCCTTGTTTTTTGTGCACTGTATCAAACATATCGTTAGGCTTGCTATTCTCAGTCTCATTAAGATTTATTCCATCTTAAAAAGATTGACTTTATTTTGAATTGTGTTTTCAAGTTTTTCCAGTTAAGTCTCCAAAAGTGACTGCAGCTTCAAACTCTGATATCATAGAGGCAACTGTGAGATATTTTGCAAGTATGCCCCATCTGTACTGTGTTGCTTGTTATGCCAGATCACTTGAAGACAATGCAAGGAAGTATGGTTTGGCTATTGTCCATTTGGAATATATTAAGAAAACTGAGTCAAGGCAGATGTAGCCTGGGCCAAGAGGCATTCTTAAGGAAATCAAGATAAACAAAATTGTGGATACATTTATTTTATTATGGACCTAATAACCGGTGTTTTATGTAAACTGATGCAATGATGTTTCCTACATCTGCAGACACCAACTGTATCAACCACAATACATGTGATTTCAATGCTCTGATTATACAGCTAAAAAAGTACAATATGGTTGTGTACGAACTGACATATGCTAGATTACTTTACGCAAGTATTGAGTGAAAAGAAAAAGAAGATAGCTCTTTGTAAACAGTTACTTTTAAAATTAAACTGAAATATCAAATCCACAACAAATGATTGTTTTACATGCATGATGCACTAACTTTTAATTACTTACCTATCTGTCTTTCAGAAAATTAGAGAAATGCCTTTTGACAATCAAAACAAACAATATTGCAACTTAATATGTTAGAGATTATTTTTGGGCTCTGATCTTTCTAAGAAAAGTATTATTTCTCAATGAGAAAACAAATTTGAAGTTTTAGCTGGTGAGCATTTTGTTTTTCCCAGACTGACCTATAGTCTCTAAGAACCTTACAAACCCTAATGAAATAATCCTTTCAACCATGTGAGGTAGGGTACATTCCAGGTACTTAATCCTAATTTATATCAAATGTTCCAAAGGGGCTTCTACCATTTCTTCAGGAGCCTATTCCACATTTCTTGCTTTCAGGAAGTTTGCTGTATTTTCCATAGATTTCCCTTTTCTTAATTCTTTTACCCAAGTTACACATGTTAGTACACCCTAGTTTTGTGGTGTGTGTTTGTTGTTTATTCCCTGAACTCCAGTTTGTTTTCTTGGCACCAGACTGAACACAGTATTCTAGGTGTGGTCTCATCAGAGCTGTATCAAGAGCAGATTATCTCTTTTATGATGTGATTCTTCTGAATGTGGGAACTAAAAAACTGTGTCCGTTTTTTATGCCAGTTGTCACTGAATACCTTGGTATAATTTGTTTACTGTTTAACCAGTGAACACATCGGGAAAAGTCAGAGACTAAGAGCTTGTCTACACTTGAAACACTACAGCAGCATGGCTCAGCACTGCTGTAGCACTTCAGTGTAAATGCAACCTATGCTGCTGGGAAGGGTTCTCTCATTGGCATAGGTAATCCACCTCCCTGAGATGTGGTAGCTAGTTCGACAGAAGAATTCTTCTGTCAACCTAGCGCCGTGTACACTGGGGTTAGGTCTGCTTAATTACACTGCTCGGATGTTGATTTTTCACATTCCTGAGCAACACAGGTGGGTCAGCCAAACTTTTTAGTGAAGACCAGGCCTAACTCTTTTGCACTTTTTGTAAAGTGTAGTATTGTAATGCTCCTAGAACACGTGAATAGCAGTAGCGTAGCTAGGGGGGAGCGAGGCAGTGGCCGCTCCCCCACTGAGCACAAGTGGCGCCTTGTCAATTTCTTGGCACCTTTTTAATTTTTACTCACCCGGGGTAGCGATCCAAAAAAAAAAAAAAAAAAAAAGGCAACACACACTGTGGTGCTTTTACTCACCCGGCAGCGCTCCGGATCTTCTGCGGCGTGACCTTCACTCACTCCGTGGGTCTTCGGCAGCATTTCCGGCGGCAGGTCCTTCAGTGCTGCCGAAGACACCCGGAGCGAGTGAAGGGCCCGCCGCCGAAGACCCGGAGTGCCGCTGGGTGAGTAAAAGTGCCGCCAGGTGAGTAAAAGTGCCGCAGCGGGTGGTGCCTCTTTTTTGATCTCTCCCCGTTCCCTCCACCTGGCTAAGCCACTGGTACTTTTTAAAAAAAGTCCAGATAGGTTTTTATTCCCAGTGAAGACATTGTTCCTGTTATGTTCTCTTGTTCTCACGTATGCGTTTTTCTGAATTGAATTTCATTTCCTGATCATATTCCTAATCCCCATAGGTCAATTTATTTTTCTGTCTCTGCAGGGGTTCAGCACTTCCCATTTTAGTATCTGCAGGTTTCATTGGTGGGCTGTTAATTCTATCCTTGGGCTCATTAATGATCCCAAGTCTACATCAGAATTTTCCAAGCTAGTGTTGCCATTTGGTCATTTATCATGACCATTTGTTGGCAGTCCTTCAGCTAGCTTTCAGTCTGTAAGGGTGGTTATATCTAAACCAATTTGAATTAATTTGATGAGTAAGACCGAATAAGGTGTTTAGCTAAATATTTAGTTCCCTTGATCCACTTCCATACTATAATGCAGTAGTGGTTTACTTTGGAAGAAAACAAGATGAAAAGAAAAGTTTTCTACATAAAGAGATTCATTGTATTGCAGAGGTCTTGCTCTGTTGGTCACCTGAAAACTGATTACCCTTTTTAGCTGTGCCTCCAGTCTTATTCTTTGCTGTTTTACCTCTGACCCTTCCTCTTTGTCTTTCTTCCACTTTCCAACCACAGCTCCTGCTTATTAATTTCACAGGCTTTTCCCCCGGTTTGGTTGTCTCCCAGTAGTCATTCTCTTGTGACCCGCCTTAGGATCACAACCTCTAGGTTAGAAAGCAGTGCTATATAGTAATTGCCAGACCCAAAAAGAAAAAAAAAAAAGGTTGAAAATACACATCAGTATCTTAAGGATTAAGGAAAAAAAATCCTTGCAAGAAAGGCCATACAGGAAGCCAGTGGCAAGCAAGGAAAAGAATGTTGTCAGACTGCTACTGGAACACTGTGTCAAGTTCTGGTGTCAGTATTTTAAAAAAGATGTTGGAAAAATTGGAGAAGAGATACAAGAATAGGTAGTCTGGAAAACGCTCCTTAAAATGAAACTAAAGAAGTCTGTTCAGCTTATCAGAGAGCAGGTTGAAAAGCTGTTTAATCATATGCCATAAGTAACTACACGGGGAGATGATGTGTTACTAGAGAGCTCCATTAATCTAGCAGACAGACATAGCAATGTCCAATGGCTGGAAGCTGATGTTGGCAAAGTTCAAACTGGACATTTTTAACATTGAGGGTGACTAACCACTGGAACAGTTTACCCAGGGATATGGTTAATTTTGCATCACTTGGAGTCTTTTAATGACATTTACATGTCTTTCTGAAATATATGCTTGTGTTCAACCACAAGTTATTGGGTTAGATGCAGGAATCACTAAATGAAAGGCCTGTTTTGCCTTTGTTTCTCTGTTATGCAGCAGAATGAATGACATGCCTGTCATAGAGGTGCAGACTGCTCTTTCAGGTACCACATAAGAAATAACAGATGGGAATTTGTTTGGGCTGTTCATGCCCTTAGCTAATCACTAGCTAAATAACCACATTTTAATTATGATGAACAACACGATGTATGCTTAGCTATCAGCAATCAGGAAGAACCAGGTCAGTCCCCTTCCTTAGGGAAGATTAAACCCTTATAACTTGGGCAGGGAAAAATCCTACCTATGTACTTCCATTCTCTGTGGGCAAACTCAATTGTGTTGTTAAATTGTCACAACATAAATCCAGCAAAATGTAGCTTCTACCTGTTGGCACTGTCCCAGACAAATTTGGACAACCAAAGGTAGATCTGTTTGCATCCTAAAATCAGTTGTAAAACACCTTGCTTCTCACAAGGAGCAGCAGCCATGGACCTGCTATCCTAACCATTCCTGAAATACCTCTTTAATTCCTTTCCTGCATCCTCTCTCGTGGGCAGGACTCTGCAAAAGATGAAGTTTAGTCCTCTTCTGGTTCTTGAGCAAAGTAAGCTGTCCTGGGATAAGAGGGAAAGTCCTCTCATGGATCAGTAACTGGTTAAAAGATAGGAAACAAAAGGTAGGGATAAATGATCAGTTTTCAGAATGTAGAGAGGTAAATAGTGGTGTCCCTCAGGGGTCTGTACTGGGACCAGTACTATTCAACATGTTCATAAATGATCTGGAAAGGGGGATAAACAGTGAGGTGGCAAAGTTTTGTATCATCTGCAAATTACTCAAGATAGTTAAGTCCAAAACAGACTGCAAAAGGTTACAAAAGGATCTCACAAAACTGGGTAACTGGGCAACAAAATGTATTTATCAGCATTGAATTTCATCTGCCAAAGTAATGCACATTGAAAAACATAATCCCAACTATACATATAAAACGGTGGGGTCTAAATTAGCTGTTACCACTCAAGAAAGAGATCTTGGAGTCATTGTGGATAGTTCTCTGAAAACATCTACTCAATGTGCTGCTAACACAACATTGGGTATTATTAGGAAAGGGATAGATAACAAGACAGAAAATATCATATTGCCGCTATATAAATCCATGGTATGCCCACATCTTGAATACTGCATGCAGATCAAAAAAGATATATTGGAATTGGGAAAGGTACAGAAAAGGGCAACAAAAATGATTAGGGGTATAGAACAACTTCCGTATGAGGAGAGATTAATAAGGCTGGGACTTTTCAGCTTGGAAAACAGACGACTATGGGGTATATGATAGAGGTCTACAAAATCACGACTGGTGTGGAGAAAGTAAATAAGGAAGTGCTATTTACTCCTTCTCATAACATGAGAATTAGGGGTCACCAAATGAAATTAATAGGCAGCAGGTTTAAAACAACGAAAGGAAGTACTACTTCAATCAACACCCGGTCAACCTGTGGAATCTTTGCCGGAGGATGTTGTGAAGGCCAAGATTGGACAGGGTTAAAAAAAAAACTAGATAAGTTCATGGAGGATAGGTCCATCAATAGCTGTTAGCCAGGATGGGCAGGGGTGCAAAATAATGCTCTGAAGTGTCCCTAGCCTCTGTTTGCCAGAAGCTGGGAATGAGTGACATGGTATGGATCACTTGATTACCTGTTCTGTTCATTCCCTCTGAAGAACCTGTCATTGTCATTGGTCATTGTCGGAAGACAGGATACTGGGTTAGATGGACCATTGATCTGACCCAGTATGGCTGCTGTTATGTTCTGGCTGCTCTTCTCGATGAGACACTCTACCAATAGACAGTACTCCTGTGTTTTGCAAAAATCCTGCACACTGTTTCAGGGATAAATAAACGTTGTTCCAATCTTTCCTCACTTGGACTTTCTACCATCCCTGTCTGACCTTCAGCTGGATAATGGAAGTTATATAAAAATAGCCTCATTTGAGAGGACACAAAATAAACATGCTAGAAGTGCATGACAATTTGATGACCTGATCAGATTCTGATTTAATCTTCTCCATTCTTCCCATCAGTTTTTTGCTTTTGGTAGCTGTAATCTCTGCCAGAAAAATCTCTGAACTGAATGATTGTATTTGCACTTTCTATTGGAAGTGCCACTTTTTCTATAAACACACTTTTTTTTTATAGTTTTCATAAAATGGCTTTATTTCCCTTCTGCCCTATCCTGGGACATTCAAAAGGAAAACAGTGGTGCCTTTACAGATATAGATATGGAGTTTAAAGCTAGATGGGAGCATTAGTTAGTAAGCCATTAAATTTCACTCAGTTACCTAGTATTGAGGAATCCTGCATGGTCCTCGAGATGTACTTCTCCATCCTCTGAGATCTAAATACTTCAGATCTTTGCAAACTTATATAAGACATAGTGCTTTGTCCCACATGAAAATCTATTATGTGGACACCTGGTGATTACTTTTTAAAATATACAATATAGAAACAGACACTTAAGCATCTTCCATTGCAGTCTTTGACATGAAGACACTGCATACCAAAATATTATCATGAACATAGACCTCCTGAACACAGCTAAAAGTATGTGCTCTGTCTTTCTAGTTATTTTCCTTCCTTCATTTATGACTTTTTTAAATCCCACTGTAAGATCCAGGGATTTCAATATGAAGAATGGGGAAATGGCCTTCAAATTTAATTTAACTATTCACCCACTAATTCTATCCACCAACTTTGTTCCTGGCTAGTAGGTTTCTGAGACATTTGAAGCCTCATTAATCCTTCAGTTACTAGAGGGGAGAAGCAACTGTCTTGACTTCAGCTTTCTGACCGCTAAAGAAGTGGGATCTCAACTACTCTCATTGCCTCATGGTCTCTTCTTGTTGCCCTACCAAATTCATGGCCGTGAAAAATGTGTCCCAGACCATGAAATCTGGTTTCTCCCATGAAATCTGGTCTTTTGTGTACTTTTACCATATACTTTAAAAATAGCCTATGCTACAGGATAAAAGTATACAAAAATACCTCTCAAACTGGAGGTCCTGACCCAAAAGGGGGTCGCAAAGCTATTGTAGGGGGTCATGGTATTGCCACCTGTACTTCTGTGCTGCTGCTGGCAGCAGCACTGCATTCAGAGCTAGGGACCTGGTCAGCAGCTGCTGCTCTCCAGCCCCCCCGCTCTGAATGCAGCGCAGAAGTAAGGGTGGCAATACTGTGACCCCCCCTACAATAGCCTTGAAACCCCCTTCTGGGTCAGGACCCCAGTTTGAGTCTTAAGGATTTTACATGTTTATATTTTGTCATTTTAAATACAAATTCATGTTTTTTACACTACCATGAAATTTAAGGTTTAAATATCTGAAACAGTGAAATTCAAGATTTTTAAAATGCTGTGACCATGAAATTTACGAAAATGGACCCTGAATTTGGTAGGGCCCTACCCATATGGTATTAACTTTGGTCAGTTTTGCTAGTGCAGTTTATGTTCCTTATCCCAACTAGCAGCAGAGAGGATAGCAGCAGCTGCATAGGCACTATCTGCAGACTAGGCGAAATAGTGTTACATCCGATTATATTTGTCATATTTTTTTCCACTTCCAGAAGGCCTAGAAACTTTTTAAATGGATCATTAAATTCTGCAGAATTGGATTAATATTCTCTATTCAAATGTTTTCCTACTTTCCACTAACAAATAGATTTTTAAAAATAAATGCTGGATTACAATTTTTCAGTGTGCACAAAAATTACAATCCAATGAAAACTGTATTCGTAATGTGTTTGAGAGGACTTAGATGCACGTCACAGTGGCAGAGTTGGTACACCTAGTTATAGTGCCACTGATGTTTATAGTTATAAAGCAAGATAGAAAAAATGATGATGTAAAAAGACTGGTGACATAGGAATGTTTTTGATGAAGTTAAATGCAGTGCCTGCTTTCTGAAATGGCTTGGTTTTTTCTGCCTTAGAAGTAGTAACTTGAGCAAACCCTATCGCTGAGGGGAATGACTGAGATTTGGAACCTTTAATCTGTAGGTCACTGGGTCAAACATGGCAGGATTTGTAGTAAGGTAGAGGTAGCTGAACTACCGTCATGCGGATAGTAGTTATCTGAAGTTTGTGGACTTGGTCCATTTCCAAGTTAACACAACCACATCATGAAAACTACCTCTGGATTTGGTATTCTTGTTAGTTGTCTAGGCTGAAAGGCCAAGATTTTGAATCATGGTGGAAACTGGAGTGTTTTCTCACCTTTAGAGATGCAACGTACTAGGTGAGGGTTGAAGAACATCAGCCCATTTGCGTGGGAAAGCTTCCATAGTTACTGTTCATTCTGTGTGTGTTCTGGGTAACTAGTACCTGAGTCTTAGGTTGTCAGTTGGGCTCCTTTCATGAGGAATTAGACATTATTTTTCACTCTTTAAATGTTGTTTAAATGTAATTTGTTTCCTTCTGTACATTTAACATCTATAGAATGTCTAAATTAAATATCTAGAATTTTTTTGTTTCATTGATGGAGAATATCCCCCTTAGTTGTGCTGTTAATATTTTTGGCTATTTATAAGAACTATTGGTTAATTTTTGGCTATTTTAAATGAAGTAACTTCCCCTCTTAAATAGCTGTTACCTGCCAAAAAGTTTTGGGAACCTGATGATTCAGCAAAAGATGGACAAAAAGGGATATTCCTTGGTGATGAGTGGAGAGAGACTGCATGGGGAACTCCTCGTAAGTGATTGCAATACGCATTTAAAGATCATTCCTGTTAACTGTTATCTGAAAGTACTAGTTTTATAAAACTCTAGATATGAATTAAATTTTAAATTGTTTTCCCTCATGTTAATTCTGAGAAATCTATACTGAACAAATGACAGTGGTATGCCAGTAACACTTAACATCTCAAAACTGGGATACAAGATTTTTTTTAAAATAAATCTATTCAGTTATAACTTTTAAAAATAAAACTGGCTTTGTATTTAATTGTCATGTTCTGGTCTTGCTTAATATGTTCCCCTTTATGAAATGTTATCAGCTTTGCAAGTTATACTGTAAAGGACAAATTAGTAATTTTTTATTTATTTTTTTTAAACAGACCATTCTATGTCCCAGCCTATTATGGTACAGAGAAAGCCTGGACAGGGTTTTCATGGAAACAGTGAAGTAAATGCTGTATTGTCTCCTCGATCAGAAAGTGGTGGCCTTGGAGTGAGCATGGTAGAATATGTGTTAAGTTCCTCTCCAGCAGATAAATTGGATTCCCGGTTTAGGAAAGGAGCTTTTGTAAGTAATCTAATGCTTTAAGCTTGCATAGTTACTTACAGCAGTGCTATGAATTCTTGTACATAGTTATGTTTTTTTACTGCATTTTTCCATTTCTCTTCTATCCTTCCCTCCTTCTCTTCAATTGAGGAATGTGTAGTTCTTACCCACTACTTTTCCTTAGTTGGAAGGTCCTAACATGAAGGGGTTAGGGAGAAGTATTTGGGGAGTTGTTGGCCTTGAATAAGTATCTCAGGAAAATTATTGCATTTATTTACCAATCACCTTCAAATCCAGTCAGAAAAATAGGTACTGTACAAATCACTGGTGAGCTGTAAAAGCTCTTAATAACTATAAAGCAAAATACAAAATGGCCTTTGGGCTAGAGCTTCATATTATTTGTGTTCTTAAAAACACTTCTTTGATTTTTATTTATTTATTTATTGATTGATTGATTTAAAAAAACAGTATATAGTGATCTAATTTGTGGTGTTACTGCTTTCCCAGCACCGCTATAGTTAAGGTTGAGTTAACTTTTCCATTATAAATCCTGACAATGCCCTTTTATGTTTTAGCAATTACTAATTGCATGTGGTTGAAACTTCATAAACAAGTTACCTACCAAATGCAATTTAATTTAGAACAAAATGTTTGTATTTTTTACATGCACTATAGTGTAGAATTAGGTCATCTTATGGTGCTCCTTTTGTGTTCTGTTAAATATTCAGAATCAAACAGATTCTTTTTCCTCAGGGCACTAGAGATGCTGAAACAGATGGACCTGAGAAAGGAGATCAGAAAGGAAAGGCTTCTCCATTTGAGGAGGACAAAAACAGAGATCTTAAACAAGGAGATGATGAGGATGTTACTAAAATAAATGGCAGAGGTTTGCCAAATGGAATGGATGCCGATTGCAAAGATTTTAAGTAAGCTTTTAACTGTTTCTCAAGAAGACAAACATATCTCTTTAGGGATACTTGCAGTTCTTGTTTATGTGTCAAATTCAAACATTTATTCAGCTGTAGATTGATTCTTTTATCTCACATCCTCCCCCTCCTGCTGTGCCACATTACTTACAATTTCATTAGCCCATGTGTCATTTTTCATGAGAGAGAAAAGTTCATCTTAAATAAATAAACCTAGTAGTTCTTCTTCAAAATAAATTACTACCCGCAAAAGGCAGTGTGTAACACATGTTAAAGGGGGCTTTAAGATTTTATCCTATTAATAAATCATGAACTAAATTACTTTCTGTAACTTTTTTCCTTCTTAAACTTCATAACTTTCACATCTGGCTCATGTGTTATGGAGTTAGTCCTGCAGAATTTTAATGTAACCTCTAATTTTGCCATAAAGCAGTGCATCCTCCCTCTGCATAACCTGTTGGAACCCCAATTCAGTTTCCACACACAGTTTGACCAACATGATATGATTCAGCTCCCTTCTCAGCCAGTCAGCACCATTCTGAATGCTGATGAGAGTGACATTTATTCTGTTTTTTGTTTGTTTGTTTTAAAAGGAGAGGGTCCAAGTTTGGGAGTTTGAAAGTTGATCCCACTCATAACAGCCCAGTCAGCCATCACAAGCAGCCACCCTATTTTATCTAATCTTTAATTAAACCTTTGGTACTTTACAATTACCAGATTAATCACCTTGGTATCTAAATACCTATATAATGAATCCTTGATAATTGACATTATCATTGACAAACAGAAAACTACTGTTCAGACTGCTGCTTATAAGTCCATCTTAATATGGATGGGAGAATGGGGAGATACAAAACGTGAGTTAAAGATCATAATCTTTAATTCTTAATATTCTAACTTTTCTTGGTCTAAAATTGAACCTATATATTTAAATATTTATTTGATTTTACTTTTATTTTTTACATTTTGGAAGGTAAGGAAATGCATATTTACCCTACGGATAAGAATGAATCCTCCAGACCCATTTCTAGTCTTTTGGATAAATACATGATTGCCCATATTAAAAACAAACAAAATAACAAACAAACATGTTAATTATGCCAAAAGAGAAATCCTCAACATATTGTGTATCTGAAAAGCTACAGTCACTCCTTTGGAATGCATGCTACAGTATCAAAAATAAAACATTTTTCATTCATTTTAATAAATTGTCTACTGCACATGCAGAGTAGATTAATTTTAATCTATTTTTCTTTAAATATCAAAAGCAATTACAATATTAAAAACAAAATGGTTTCCAAATTATTTTTTTTAGAAATGTTTTTTTTATTTGCATAAGTGCAGAAAAGCATCCAAACCCAGTAAACCTCTCAAGAAATAATAGAGACGGCTATCTAAGTAAGTGGCCAATTTGAAGCAGAGTTATGAATCCCTGCAAATAGAGGTTTATAATTGAACTATTGACACAACTTTAACTATAGCAACACAACAGCACCACTGTAAGGAGCAAACCTAACTAAAAATATTTTTTAAAATGTTTGTCCTATTTGTCCTGTATCTCTTGACATTTATATTAAAATAGTATTTTGAATTAACTTGTGGTATGGGTTTTCTTCCTATATAATTCTTATTTATAAGTGAAATGGATATTGAAATAACCAATGCATGAAACTTTAGTTTCTTTGGTTCCTAGCTTGTGCCACAGGCAAAGAAAAGGCAGTACTAAATGGTTTTTAATGCTTAATCTAGGTTTGGAGCCAGGCTGGGTTACTAGCTGACAAAAGTTCCCTGCCATAGTGTTGCTTTTTGTCACCATCAAAGCACTAGAGTGGCTATATGTGCTCTGGAATGAATCAATTTGTTAAAAGTTGACAGGCTTTATGGTGTTTTCTTTCCCCCAACAAAAGACTGACTTCTGATTTTTGACACTGGAAAGTTCAGAGTTATGTCTGCAGATTTGCTGGAGGCCACCCATGCCTTCATTTCAGTGAGAAAGATTTAAATCTTTGAGTGCTTCAGAGATGAGAGAAGTAGGACTGACATAACACTTCCCATTTGGGAAGTGGAGTGTGATACCTTACCAACCTTTGACAGCACACTAGGGTGCTTTTAGTGTACAGTAACATGGTCCACATGGCCAGGTAGTACGCTACATGCCAACATGCTGTAGATTTACACCCTAGCTTGCTGGGCACTGACTCGCCATCTAGACAAGCCCTTACAGGTGATCGGCAGGTCACGTCATTTCATTCATAAGAGTCTGGAAGTATTTTTCAGTAGGCTTTATAACACAAGTAAACGGATAAAGCTAAAGGTGTGCTTTTTGCTAGGTCACCATTATATGCCTGTTAAATTGCTTACAGTAAATCTTCTTTCTCTTAGTTATATTTGTAAACTTTTTCATGTTTAAAGATTCTCCTTCAACAGATTGTAATATGCTTTGTCCATTATTGATTGATTTATCACGGCTGTAAGAGGCTATCTTTTAATTTCCTCTATGCAGTCGTACTCCTGGAAGCCGACAAGCCTCCCCAACAGAAGTAGCTGAGCGCCTGGGTTCTAACCCTAACTCCACAGAAGGATTAGGCCCACTTCCCAATCCTACAACCCACAAACCTCTGGTAGAAGACTTTTCAAACCCAGAAACTCAGAATCTGGATGCCATGGAACAAGTTGGTCTTGATTCTTTACAGTTTGACTATCCTGGCAATCAGGTACAAATGGACTCCTCAGGAGCTACTGTAGGACTTTTTGACTACAGTTCTCAGCAGCAGGTTAGTGCTGTTCTTATAGAACTGATGGGAATGCGGTTAAAATATTCGGTGGTTTGAAGATGTTGCAATTAGTTTATTTGTTCTTGATAATTAACGATTTAAGCATAAAATTCTTGATGTATTTCATCTCATTAAACTCCTATACTCAAGAGAGTGTAGGATGGGAACAAACAAATGTACTTAAATTTCCGTGTAATATATGTTGTGCACAATTTTCCAACCTATTTCAGAAGAGTCTTGGTTTATAGTATTTTATATGTAAATTCTAAACTTTAAGCATATCTCATATCTTCAAATTGAAAACTTAAGTGTTTGCTATTTCATAGCTTTTCCAGAGGACTAATGCGCTAACTGTCCAGCAGTTAACAGCAGCTCAGCAGCAACAGTACGCATTGGCTGCAGCTCAGCAGCCACACATAGGTGAGATTTTTATAATGCATAAATACTTTAGAGGTCAGTGACAAAAAGCTGACAATATATTGTTTTGCTACACTGCTCTGTTTACTAAATATCAAAGCTAATTCAAGTTTGCTGGTTTATGGTGTTCTAACTAGTTCATAAATAGTAGATAGTATATGGACTGGAAAGAGAAATATTGGTGATCATTTTGAAGAGATGCTGTATCAGATTGTTCCTACTCTATATAACAGTTTTTCAAATTGCATTTTCAGTTTTTTGTTTCCTCCACCTAAATATTTGTCACTACACTTGTGTTCAAATGATTGAAAATTAGTTTTGCTTATGTAGAACTCTATATTGAAAATATGAATGAGACTAAAAATGGGAAATACACTTATTTTAATGCCATAAAGTACCATATATACTTGTTCATCAGACTGTTCGTTTATAAGCTGACCCCCCCCCCCCCCCCCAAGATGGTTGGTTAAAAATAGCAAAAACTGTATGACCCTTTCATAAGCCGACCCTATATTTCAGGGGTTGGCAAACTTTGGCTCCCGGCCGTCAGGGTAAGCAGCTGGCGCGTTGGGATGTTTTCTTTACCTGGAGTGTCTGCAGGCACGGAGCCCCTCAGCTCCCTGTGGCTGCGGTTCGTCGTTCCCAGCCAATGGGAGCTGCAGGAAGGGCCACTTCCCTCAGCTCCCATTGGCTGGAAACGGCGAACTACGGGCACAGGGAGCTGAGGGGCTCTGTGCCTGCAGACACTCCAGGTAAACAAAATGACAATGTATTAGATATTCAATTCAATGATTCCATAGAGTTTAAAATAATCAAATTTTCGTGTAGACCCGTTTATAAGCCGGCCCCCACTCTTTGATGCGTCACTCTTTTACCAAAAATATTCGGCTTATGAACAAGTATATATGGTAAGTGTAAGTGAAGCAACTCATTCATTTGTAAAATGGGATAATACTTAATATACCTCCCAGAGGTGTTGAGGTTAAATTAATATTTGTAATAGCCCATTTAGATCCTCCAGTAAAAGGCACTATAGAAGTGCAAAATAGCTTTTATTGTGTTGATTAACTTAATTCCTTCATAAATAGCTGCTTATCCTAGAGGTGCCCTAGCAATTGACTAGTTAAAGTAGTGTTGAATTTTGTATTTAAAGCAGGGCTAAAATCCCGTTGTTTAAGACTTCAGTGTTTGAATTTAGTCTACATATTTCTTATGAATCCTGAGGTTTTTTTGACTCTTACCTGAGTTGCTGCAAAGTCCAAACTTTACACACCAACACTTCAGTAAAGTCTTAAGGAAAAGATAAGCTTGTTTTTTTTAATTTTTACAGCTTAGCAGAAGTTATTCACTGAGTGCTGTTTTGTGAGGAGCTCTGTGCTAAGCATCCCCTGGTTCAATGAAACAGCAGTGCCTTGGAGAGCCCTTGGTGCGTTGATATCTTAGCAAGAATACGTTCTACTCCCTTGATGCTACTGCCTGAGTGTTCTCAGGAGTCAAGGTAGCAGCAGCAGTAACTACAGGAAAGCTGAGTTATCTTTGTGGAGGCATCAGAACACAAATGGGCTCCTCAAGCTACTGCTTCAGTGAGCTGAGACAACCCAACAAGGGAGCCCCTCAAGTTGAGATACTTTGGTGAAGGAGCAGTGGACTCCAACTCCTGGACTCACCTCACTTTCATCCTCCTTCGCCACCTTGCTCCTGGGGTCTGGGCATCTATGTGCAGTGGACATGAGTGACTGGAACTGTTGGGGAACAGGGGGAAAGAAATGGGAAGTGCAGGCCCAGCTGAGACCTGTCCATGTCCATCTGTGCTGTGGTGGTTCACCCAGCCTGTCATTCCAGTTGAGGGGCTCTCCTCTAATCTGTTAATTAGTGCAGGACCCTGAGCATCTTCAGCTGCAAGTCTTCCAGTCTCTTTTCTCTCAATATAGCTATTCGTATTATCACAGCACCTAGGAGCCCCAGTCATGCATGGAGCTTAGATGCTAGAAAGATTAGTGCTACATAAATGTTGACAGTGCATAGGTGAGTAAAATTGAGTTGGCAGTTGTGAAAGGCAGACCAGCAACGTGAGGCTGTCAGGCAGTTAGAGTGGTATTAAGAACGGCCATACTGCGTCAGACCAATGGTCCATCTAGCCTAATATACTGTCTTCAGATATTGCCTAGCGCAGGTGCTTCAGAGGGAATGAACAGAACAGATCAGTTATCGAGTGATCGATCCCCGTTATCCAGCACTAGCTTCTGGCAGTTAGAAGTTTAGGGACTGCTGGAGCATGGGGTTGCATCCCTCACCTCCGGGGCTAATACCCATCGATAGACCTAGTCTACATGAACTTACTTGTTTTTTGAACCCAGTTATACTTTTGGCCTTCACAACATCCACTGATAATGACTTCCAAAAGTCAACTGTGCACTGTGAAGAAGTACTTCCTTATGTTTGTTTTAAACCTGCTGCCCATTAATCATTGGGTGACCCCTGGTTCTTGTGTTATGTGAAGGGGTAAATAACACTTCCCTATTCACTTTCTCCATACCATTCATGATTTTATAGACCTCTGTCATATCTCCCTTTCGTTGTCTCTCTTCCAAGCTGAATAGTCCCAGTCTTAATCTCTCCTCGTAGGGAATCTGTTCTATACCCCTGATCATTTTTGTTGCCCTCTCTGTATGTTTTCTAATAGGGCTGTCAAGCAATTAAAATAATTAATTGTGATCAATCACGCTGTTAAACAATAATAGAATACCATTTATTTTAAATATTTTTGGATGTTTACTACATTTTCAAATATATTAATTTCAGTTACAACACAGAATACAAAGTGTACAGTGCTCACTTTACATTTATTTTTGATACAAATATTTGCACTGTAAAAAACAAAAATATTTTTCAATTCACCTAATACACCTTAAAATGTGCTGGGTCATCATCATCATCCGAGACTGCTATAACATAAGAATGGCCATACTGGGTCAGACCAAAGGTCCATCTAGCCCAGTATCCTGTCTACCGACAGTGGCCAATGTCAGGTGCCCCAGAGGAAGTGAACCTAACAGGTAATGATCAAGTGATCTCTCTCCTGCCATCCATCTCCACCCTCTGACAATAGAGGCTAGGGACACCATTCCTTACCCATCCTGGCTAATAGCCATGAATGGACTTAACCTCCATGAATTTATCCAGTTCTCTTTTAAACCCTGTTATAGTAGCCTTCACAACCTCCTCAGGCCAGGAGTTCCATAAGTTGACGGTGCGCTGTGTGAAGAACTTCCTTTTACACTGCTCTACAGCCAAAATGCTTCTGAAATAAATGTAGTCAAACTTTACTAATTCTGGGTCACTGAGAACGAAAATGATGCTTAAAATTGTTGATTGGCTCTAGTTTTCAAGATATGCTATTGGGTCAGTATATACGACCCTTGACTTGGGAATGGCGGAGGATAAGTGAGTTATAAAGGGAAGGGATCTCAATTTAAACCAGAAATGACTAAAATACATCTTTGACTGGATCTATGAATAAATCTATGACTGGGTTTGGACAGTACTTGCTTTTTAGGCAAAACAATGAATGATGCAATCTGAAACTGGTATTGCGTCATACATGATATGAATTGCATCATGTTATTCCTAGAAGTCATGAATGATGCAATCATAACAAAGCTTACATCACTGTGCTGAACAAATTGCCCTACATCAGCTCTAGAAATCATACAGTGTCGTGCTCTCTTATTTGTCAGTGTTTGATTTTGCAAAGGGACACATTTCTGTTTAGCCAAAGTGAGCAGAGATGCCTCGTACTTGTGTGAACAGTGCAGAGAACTTCTGCTATGTTTGTGGTGAAGTGACTTTTGCATCACAAAAGCGCAGTATAACCACTATGGTTAAGAAAGCCTATCACCTTTATTTTGGCTGCAAAATTGGAGATCAGGACAAGAGGTGGGCCCCACACATATGCTGCAACACTTGTGCAACAAATCTTCGCCAGTGGTTGAACAGGAAAAGGAAATCTATGCCTTTTGCAGTGCCAATGATTTGGAGAGAGCCAACAGATCATACCAGCAATTGTTACTTCTGCATGGTGCCTCCAGTTGGGAAAGGTGTGTCAAAGAAGAAAATGTGGACTGTGCATTATCCAAACATTCCATCAGCTGTACGCCCAGTACCCCACGAAGAAGGACTGCCGGTTCCTGATGCACCAGAATCATTCTCACTTGAGTCAGACGAGGAAGAGGATGAAACTTCTGGTCCTGAACCATCAATGTCACAGGACCCACATTTTCTCCCATCCTCCTCCTCTGAACCACACCTCATAACACAAGGTGAACTGATTGACCTTATCAGGGATTTGGAACTACCCAAGAGTAAGGCAGAGCTGTTGGGCTCCAGACTACAGCAGTGGAATCTCCTGGCAGGTGATGTTAAGGTTTCCATGTTCCGTGACCGTCAAAAGGATCTTGTCCTATTCTTCTTCGTGGAAGGTGATCTTGTAGCCTGCAACAACATCGATGGTGTGATGGCAGCCCTCAACATCGTTCACGATCCAGAGTGGAGACTGTTCATTGATTCATCGAAGACGAGTCTTAAAGCTGTTTTACTGCATGATGGCAATGTTTTGCCATCAATTCCAGTTGGTCATGCAGTCCATATGAAGGAAACCTATGACAACATGAAACAACTTTTGAGGTGCATAAACTATGACCAACATCAGTGGCAGCTTTGTGGCGATTTGAAAGTTGTTGCTCTCTTGCTTGGTCTGCAGACTGGATACACAAAGTACTGCTGTTTTCTCTGCGAATGGGATAGTCGTGCAAGAGATTCCCACTACATCAAGAAAGATTGGCCACTCCAACAGTCATTGGAGCCTGGGAGGAAAAGTGTTCAGCATCCACCACTTGTTGAATCAAGGAAGATTTTGTTACCACCCTTACACATCAAGCTGGGTCTGATGAAGAACTTTGTCAAGGCCATTGACAAAACACAAGCAGCTTTCAAGTACCTCCGTGGAAAATTTCCAAGGTTAAGTGAAGCTAAGATAAAGGAAGGTGTCTTTGTTGGTCCTCAGATTTGTGAACTTCTTCGAGATGATGCATTTGACCATGCACTGCATGGCAAGGAAAAACGGCGTGGAAAGCCTTTTAGTTAGTGGCAATAAATTTTCTTGGAAACAACAAGGCAGACAACTACAGGTTGTTGGTGGAAAACCTCCTCAAGGCATACAAAAGCCTTGGTTGCAACATGTCACTAAAGATACATTTTTTGCACTCTCATCTAGATTTTTTTCCCACCGAACTGCGGAGCAGTGAGCGACGAGCACGGCGAGCGATTTCACCAGGACGTTGCAACAATGGAGAAACGCTATCAGGGCAAATGGAGCCCATCGATGCTTGCAGACTATTGCTGGACAGTGACAAGAGATGCTCCATTTAATGAATACAAGAGACAAGCCAAGAAGCGCCGAGTAGACACTGAATAGGACTAAACTATGTACATAATAGTTTTTTGCCTTTTGTTTCATAATAAATTTTATTTATATAACCCTTTTGCTGATTTTTAAAGTGTTACATAAACAGGACAGGTGAAATATTATCATGTAAAGCAACCATAAACACATGAAAAGACCTAGGTTTACAATTTATGATTAAAACTCTACTATCTACACAATATACATAGACATAAAATGTAAAAACTTAAATATCTTAGAAACAGTAGCCAATTAGTTGTTTTAATTGTCATATTTGAATTCAGCACATCAAAATACGTAATAAATAGCACATTTTATCTCTGAAGCAGACGACGTCTCAAAAATTGTAGACCAGTGTTATTTGTTTTAAACCTGCTGCCCATTAATTTCATTTGGTGGCCCCTAGTTCTTATGGGAACAAGTAAATAACTTTTCCTTATTTACTTTCTCCACATCACTCATGATTTTATATACCTCTATCATATCCCCCCTTAGTGTCCTCTTTTCCAAGCTGAAAAGTCCTAGCCTCTTTAATTTCTCCTCATATGGGACCTGTTCCAAACCCCTAATCATTTTAGTTGCCCTTCTCTGAACCTTTTCTAATGCCAGTATATCTTTTTTGAGATGAGGAGACCACATCTGTGCGCAGTATTCAAGATGTGGGCGTACCATGGATTTATATAAGGACAATAAGATATTCTTTGTCTCATTCTTTGTCCCCTTTTTAATGGTTCCTAAAATCCTGTTTGCTCTTTTGACCGCCGCTGCACACTGCATGGACGTCTTCAGAGAACTATCACGATGAGTCCAAGATCTTTTTCCTGATTAGTTGTAGCTAAATTAGCCCCCATCATGTTGTATGTATAGTTGGGGTTATTTTTTCCAATGTGCATTACTTTACATTTATCCACATTAAATTTTATGCATTATAATGAATTTCATGAATTATAATAACATGAAATATATGCAGAATGCGGGTAAAACAGAGCAGGGGACATACAATTCTCCCCCCCCCCCCAGGAGTGCAGTCACAAATTTAATTGATGCATTATTTTTTTTAACGAGCATCGACAGCATGGAAGTATGTCCTCTGGAATGGTGGCCGAAGTATGAAGGGGCATATGAATGTTTAGTGTATCTGGCACGTAAATACCTTGCAATGCTGGCTACAACAGTGCTATGCGAACGCCTGTTCTCACTTTCAGGTGACAGTGTAAATAAGGAGCAGGCAGCAGTAGCTCGCATAAATGTAAACAAACTTGTTTGTCTTAGCGATTGGCAGAATAACAAGTAGGACTGAGTGGACTTGTAGGCTCTAAAGTTTTACACTGTTTTGTTTTTGAGGGCAGTTATGTAACCAAAAAAAAAAAAATCTGCATTTGTAAGTTACACTTTCTGGATAAAGAGATTGCACTTCAGTACTTGTATGAGGTGAATTGAAAAATATTATTTCTTTTATCATTTTTACGGTACATATATTTGTAATAAAAAATAATCTAAAGTGAGCACTGTGCACTTTGTATTCTGTGTTGTGATTTAAATCAATTGAAAATGTAGAAAAACATCCAAAAGTATCTAATAAATGTCAATTGGTATTCTATTGTTGTAAGGGCAATTAATCACGATTCATTTTTTTGAGTTAATTGCGTGAGTTAACTGCGATTAATTGATAGCCCTAAATCCTAATATATCTTTTTTGAGATTGGACAACCAGAACTGCATGCAGTATTCAAGATGTGGGCATACCATAGATTTATATAGAAAATACCATAATACCACTGTCTTATTATCTATCCTTTTCCTAATGATTCCTAATATTCTGTTTTTTGACTACCATTGCAAAATGAGCAGATGAGTACACCATGTCTCCAAGATGTTTCTTGAGTGGTAGCAGCTAACTTAGAGCCCATCATTTTGTACATACAGCTGGGATTATGTCTTCCAATGTGCATTACTGTGCTTTTATAAACATTGAATTTCATGTACTATTTTCTTGCCCACTCACCCGCTTTTGTGAGATCTTTGTAACTCTTTGCAGTCAGCTTTGGACTTAACTATCTTGAGTAATACTGAATTGTCTGCAAACTTTGCCATCTCACTTTTTTCCCCTTTTTCCAGATCATTTATGAATATGTTGAACAGGACTGGTCCTAATACAGATCCTTGGGGGACCCCGCTATTTACCTTTCTCCACTGTGAAAACTAACCATTTATTCCTACACTTTGTTTCCTATATTTTAACCAGTTACTGATCCATGAGAGGACCTTCCCTCTTATCCCATGACTGCTTACTGTGTTTAAGAGCCTTTAGTAAGGGACTGGGTCAACATTGTCCATATGTTTGTTGACCCCTTCAAAGAATTCTAATAGATTGGTGAGGCATGATTTCCCTTTACAAAAGCCTTTCTCAACAAAATGTGTTCATCTATGTGTCTGATAAATCTGTTCTTTACTATAGTTTCAGCCAATTTGCCTGGTACTGAAGTTAGGCTTACCATCCTGTAATGCCAGGATCGCCTCTGGAGACATTTTAAAAAATCAGGATCATATTAGCTATCCTCCAGTCATCTGATACAGAGGTTGATTTAAATGATAGGTTACATACCACAGTTAGTAGCTCTGCAATTTCATGTCTGAGTTCCTTTGAAACTGTTGGATGAATATCATCTGGTCCTGGTGACTTATTACTGATAAATTAATCAGTTTGTTCCAAAATCTCTTCTATTAACACCTCAGTCTGGGTGGGTGAGGTAAAATCTCTTAATTGGGCCAAGTTCTGTTGGTGAGAGAGAGACGAGCTTTCTAGCCGCACAGTGCGCTTCTTCAGGTCTGCTTTCAAAAGACGAGTCAGGGAGCTTAAATTCGTTATTCAAAAATCATGGTGTCTAGCAGAGTAATAAATTTAAGCTCCCAGACTCGTCTTTTGAAAGCAGACCTGAAGAAGAGCTCTGTGTGGCTGGAAAGCTTCTCTCTCACCAGCAGAAGTTGGCCCAATAAAAGATATTACCTCACCCGCCTTTGTCTCTCTAATGTTTTGGGACTGACACAGTCACATGTCCCACTGATTGTTTGGCAGGCTTCCAGCTTCTGATGTACTTACAAAAACTAACAGCAACATTTTTTTTTTCTTTTGCTAGTTGCACTTCAAAATCTTTTTTGGCCTGCCTAATTGGGGCACCCCTGCTCTCCTTCTCCACCCAACATTTAGTAGGCTATATAGTACAAGTCATGGACAGGTCACAGGCCATGAATTTTTGTTTACTGCTCATGACCTGTCCACGACTTTTACTAAATATACCAGTGACTAAAACGTAGCCTTAATTATCATTGTTCCACCAGATTTCTCTGATGCTTATTATATCAATAGCCTCATTTAATAGCAGGTACTCAAGTTCACCATCTTAGTATTTAGACTTCTTGTATTTGCATGTAAGCACTTATAAAATTTGTCAATATTTAGTGGTCTGCCGTCATGTGACATAACTGAATGGGGTTAGGGCGGAGATTTTGTGGTTAGAAAAAATGAAAGTAATGATTTCTCTGCTACTTTGTATTCACTTCAAAACATCAAGAAGAGTACATGCAGTACTTGTTTTAATACAGGTATAACTTGTGATCACATTGATTAAATGTGCAATAATGTCTGTTGGATCTATTTGCTACAATTAAATCTTTGTTTGTTAATATAGCAGGGGTATTCTCAGCAGGCTTGGCTCCAGCTGCTTTTGTGCCAAACCCGTACATTATCAGTGCTGCTCCTCCAGGTACTGACCCATACACTGCAGCAGGGTTAGCTGCAGCAGCAACACTAGCAGGTAACACATTTTTTTCTCAATTTTTATTATAACTTACTGATTTTCTTTGAGAAAATGATTGGATTTGTAGATAAATCAGTATTTGTAGCTCTGAAGATTTTTTTCTATGAATAATTAAGAGGGCATAATCCACTTAATAAACTGCCCTTCTTTCTGAATATTTTGTACTCTCAATTGTTGCAAATAATATCAAAGATTGCTCTGTCTAGAAGTTTTTTTATTAATATTTTATCTGAAAATGATAGAAAAAGATTAAGTATTGTTATTCCTTTTTTTAAAATGGAAAAACTGAGATCCTAGAGCTGTTAAGTGTATTTCCAAGTTGACTCAACAGGTCATTGATGGAACTGAGATTAGAAAATCATGTTTTTTGAGTCTCTATCTAGTACCTTATGCAGTAGACAGTGTGTTCCCTGTTTGCTTGGGTCTTTCACACAGCAACAGGAAGTGGAAAAAATACCTTTAAATAGGAAGGTATGATATAAAACCACAAATATTGCAGAGTACTCAAGGCAAATGTAGTATTTGGAACTGCTTCTGGCATTTTGGAAAGTGATTTAGATTTTAAGTTTGTTGTCTCCCAGTAATGGAGGTGGAAAGGAATGTAAAATATGCACACAATACATGAGAACTGGGGCATTTGATGAGCAAGGTGACTAGAAATGATGGTTAGAACCTTTCACTGCTAGGTTTTTTTATATCGCAAGTAGACTGGAAATGTTGGGCTTAGAAAACTAAACCAGTATCTCAGCCCAGTTTGAAGGATGTGATCTAGCATGTGTGAATGTCAAAGGAAAATCGCATGGCTGTATTTGCAGAAGAGAAAAGGGATACAGAATGAGGAAGTGGAGAATGAGGAGTGTTGAAGAAAAAAGGCCAAGAAAGTTGCTGTGGGAAGCTCTTTGGTTTAGGCAGGATAGGCTGGGTTTATCCTGTGGAATCTGACGTGATTTGTTAATGTGTGATAAAACTGACTGAGCATACTTTTACATGTAAGCTTCGACTACTGAATGTTATGTAAGTGTTTCTAACTTTACAAGAGTCTACCAGAAGGGTATTTATTGTTAGGGTGTGAATCCTCTTGTGTCCCAGTCCCAGAAGTTGTTTGACCACATACATGTATCTGTTTGGATTGTAGTGATCTTCATTTACATTTACAACAGATCTCCTACTTAACAAACTAATTGGGGACTGAGGAGTTCATAAAATGGAACGTTTCCTTTTGATCTGTTCAACACCGATAGACCAGGAACATGGGCACTTTATTTTTGGTGGTAATAGCTTCAATTTGCAAAGTGATTCATCCAACTTTCACAAGCTTTATCAAAAATTCCTTCCAGAGGAAACAACCAAATTTGACCTCAAAATTAGTAATTTTTCTCAATCTCATTCCTGCAGAGTAGGGTGATGCTTTGTAGTAAGGTTTCAATTATAAATGGTTTATAACCAATTAATAGATGTTAAAAGCATGTTATAGATGCTGTAGATGGCCATGGTAGTTCACCTGTTTTAGAGTTCATTCTAGAACAATTGATTAACCATTTATTAAAATATCTGTTAATCATTTCTTAACCTTTTATAAATTATTTTTAGAAGTAACTTGAATATAAAGTGTGTCCAGAAAGTAATTACTGCTATCCCTCATCACGAGTTGGGTGTAAGCTACCTTCTGGTAAAGCAGTTGAACAACTTTGAATTGTTATGAGAGTTATCAGTGATATGCTTAAAACTTAGACTCAGGGTTGACTGTCTAACCAAACGGCTGCATTCAAAGAACAGAAACCGTGATTTGATATTTTTCATATACCCGGTAGTTGCTGTTTTTCTAAGGATATCAGCCTTTTTTGTGTTGTTCTGTTATTGTTTCAAACCAGAAAAGGGGGGTTAAAATGAAGCTCATCAATTGAATCAAATGGATCTTTTAAAATAGATACAAGTCTGGTTTTGCTAACATTTATTTAAGAGCACTTGACAATTATAATGCAAGTTCTCTTTGTAAAATTGAAAGTAGATTAATTTGTGTTAGAGATAATGATGTCTTCTGTGTGATGTTCATTCAGCAACTAGCACAGTAGAATGAAAATCCCAATCAAGGTTTATAGGAGCTATTGCAATATGAATAATAATAATTTTGATGAACAAAAGTAAACTGAAAAGAATGTGTTTTGTTAGGTCCGGCAGTGGTCCCTCCTCAGTATTATGGAGTTCCATGGGGGGTATATCCAGCCAATTTATTTCAGCAGCAAGCTACAGCTGCAAACACCACAGCAAATCAACAGGCAGCATCACAAGCACAAGGACAACAACAGGTAGAGTACAGTCTTCATGCAGAGGAACTGTATTTTTTAAAAACAATAAAATTTGTATAAGGTTTTCCACTTCAAAATGTCAGTTTTAAAAGAAAATTCAGCTGGAATTGTAAACAAAAATTGCATGTTATTCTTCAGACTTTCTCTTGTGCTTTTCAACAGTCTGTACACCAAAAGTTTTGGTTAGTATTTGACTAGTTTTCATTTCTTAAATTCATTAATATTACCAATTATATCAAAATCTTTTTAGTTTTACCTGCAGCATAATTAATCTTTATTTTTGTTCTTATCTGACTACTGTTGCAATCCTAATTAAAAAGAATATATTAAAAATTGCTTCTTTTGTCTGGGTTGCTATAACTTAATTGAAGGTGGGTTGTAATGCTCAGGCCTAATCTACACTAAAAAGTTAGGTCGACCCAGCTATGTGTCTAAGGGGTGTGAAAAATCCACACCCTGAGTGGCGTAATTAAGCCAACCTAACCCCAGTGTAGACAGTGCTAGGTCAAAGGTACTGACTGTAAGGGAGGTGGATTACTACCCTGACAGGAAAAACGCTCCTGTCAGCGTAGGTAGGGTCTGCGCTGAAGCAGTACAGTGGCATAGCAGCTGTGTTGCTGTAGTATTTGAAGTGTAGACAACAAGCCCTTTGTAACTAGTGCTGCATGAATAATCTCACAAACATTCATATAAAGTTTAAAATGATTTTAAACAGTCAACAGCAAGAGAAAAAATGAGGATAAAGACAGCCACATCCTCTTGAAGTTCTTTCTTACAGTGCTGCAGCAGGGTGCAGTTGTGCTGTAGTAGCTCTAGTAGTTTTCCACCTATTGAAAAATACTACATTGTTGGGGGGTTTCCTCTCTAGTTTTAAAAAATAATCAGTAGTTTTTCCATGTGCGTTGCTCTATAACAGGAAGATAATGTGCTATGACATTGTGTCCTGCCATGGGTTATTTTTTCTTTGACAAATCAAGAAGAAATTATAGTAACTAAAATATATCACTGAAATTAATCTCACCATTTTATTTATTGAAATGGTATTTTTACTACTTTAATTCCATTAATCTTTAACTCTAGATTGCTTCATTTTTATAAGATTCATTTTTATAATATTTTTTAAAATCCCATTCATGGTGTAAGGGCATTTGTGATGAAATGCTTGAAGCCATTACAAAAATGTTTCCTAAAGACAAAAATAAATCTTATGTAGGATATATATCTGATACTTTTTATTATCTTTTCCTCAAAACAACAAAACATTCAATGCCATCATTAACCAATATATAATTTACTAGGAATTTCTTTTATTGAATTTCCATTCTCTCAAATTCCAAAATCGCATCCTCACCTTAGAAGCCTATATAACTGGATCTTTTAAAGCAGTTGCTAGTTGTTACTTGTCACTGATGAGCTGTCTTGATAGCTGAATAGCATCTCTTCCTTGCAGAATTTTTTCTCACCTGTTGAATGAATATCTAATTCTGTGTCTCCCAAATAGTGGGTCCCAGGAAGGGTCTAGGTGGGTCACCAGTGATTTTCAGACACCTGAAGCCCCCTCACACTGCCTTCCCCGCCCTGGCATGTCTGCCATAAGTGCTCTACCTCTACACACTCTCTTCCACTAATCTGGGGCAGCAGCGCAGGGAACAGGTCCCAGGCAGCAGCAGCAGCGTGGAGGAAGTGGCCAGAGCCAGCAAGTGGACAGTCAGCAGCTTGGGGGAGAGGGGCTGGCTGGTGCTGCAGGGACGGGCAGGGCTTCAAGAGTGAGAGCAAAGGGACTGGGGGGAGGCATTAGTCGAGCAGGGAGCTTGAGGACTGGGCTGGTGGGGGAGGGGAGGAGAGTGGAGAGGAGGGGGATTAGGGGGTTGAAAGGCTGGAAGGTAGGAGAGCCTCCCCAGTTAAAATGGTGCGCCACAGCCCTGTATGACAGCTCCTAGCATGGTGGGTGGGGGTGGGTGTGTGCGTGTGTGCGTGTGCGTGTGTGTGTGTGTGTGTGTAAATAAATTATATATATAAACAAATAAATGGCGGGTCCCCCAAAAAGTCAAAATGCAGTTGGTGGGTTGCCTAACTAAAAAGTTTGGGAACAACTGATTTAACCTATAAATAATTTTCATGCCAGATATTCGTGCAGGAACGCATAGGTGTAAGACTAGCTAAACTCCATTTTTCTTTCCAAATTTGAGTGTGGAAAAAGGACTGTTTGTCAAATAGGTGACAAGATATAAAGCGTATTTGTCATAACTGGGTAGAGGAGTTAAAAACCTGAAACAAAATCTAGTTCACTTATCAACCTCCAGAATATGTTTTGAGTGTTGGTGGGGTGGATAGGTTAGGTAAGTATTTACAAACTACAATTGGTAAATTTTCAAAGCATAAGATAAGTTCCTTCAAGTTATGCAATGTTCAGGAATAAAAATTTTCAATTGGCAGAATGTGAGGGTAAAGAATTTTATTTATTTTTGATATATTATGTGCTTGTCAGGTAAGGATCGGTTTTCAGTTAATAAATTGTCTGGATTCACAGATGTGTTTATAGATTAACTTTTAGGAGGACTTTTTACAGTTTTACTTTCCTCTAGAATCATTACCATTTCTAAAATATACTCTGTCTGTTGTGCTGGCTAGCAAAAGACCCAAGGCAATCCTTGAACCTAGGTCTCTTGTGCTACAGTACTGTCAGCAAAATAGTCTATACCTGTTACACTTTTACATGTTTTTATGTGCTTGAAATCATTCAGATGGAGTATTCAGAATATTAAATTCAGAGCTAAAAAGCATTAAATACATAAACTAGCTGTCCTAGACCTTTTATAGCGTATAACTGATTTTGTACTCCGCTTTTAAGAAAATAGTATCATATTGGTCTTTTGTAGGTTCTGCGTGCTGGAGCAAGTCAGCGCCCTCTTACTCCCAATCAGGGTCAGCAAGGGCAACAGGCAGAGTCACTTGCAGCAGCTGCGGCCGCAAATCCAGCTTTGGCTTTTGGTCAGGGTCTTGCTACAGGCATGCCAGGTATATAATTGATGGATTAAGGAAATTAAAAATCAGTTTGAGCTAAAATATTGGTTTTATTAGAAATAAAGTTAACTATATATTAAAATCCTGTTATTTGTAATAGGCTATTTGGCGTTCATCTCTGTACAACTTTATGCTTGTTTAGTTTGGGTAAAATCTTGACACAGTTTTTCAAATACTAGAGGTTTTCTTTCAACTTGTTTTTAGCTGTTATATAATTTTAAATATATTTGTCTTTCCAGTTAATGTATTTAGTTTTTAGTACATCTGAAAACTCTTATAAATGGATAATGTCCCGTAGATATGCAGTTCCAAAGGAATTCTGTTATTAACCACTTTAAAACTCAGAATTGTCACTGCAGCTAATGCCAAAAGAATTATTTATTGTAGAATAAATTTTATACTTGTACCACATAACTCTTAACAACTCTGAAATGGAGAATGTAAAATGATAGAAGAAAAAAGGAAACTGCTTAATTACCTCTGAAAAGGATGATGGGTTTGAAATACACCTCTACCTCGATATAACGCTGTCCTCGGAAGCCAAGAAATCTTACTGCGTTATAGGTGAAACTGCGTTATATCGAACTTGCTTTGATCCACCGGAGTGCGCAGCCCCGCCCCCCCCCGGAGCACTGCTTTACAGCGTTATATTTGAATTTGTGTTATATCGGGTCGCGTTATATCAAGGTAGCAGTGTAGATCTACTGCATTTTTTGGTACCTATGAGGCTTGCAAGAGAATTAAAACAAAGCTGCACATTCTAAACTTCTTTCAGTCTCCAGAGCTTTAGACTCTCCGCAGGGAAATAATGTATGCGTCATAGCTTTTATTTAGAGAAAACGTTCGTCCTAGTGCATTCTCATTATTTTTACGTGATAAAATGCACAATGCATTGGAGTAAAAGATCAAAACTGCTGTTGAACAGTTTTGGAACTTTGGTACAACTGCATGAGCCAGAACAACTTAACCTTCTCCTTGCCCTCATGTCAGTACAAACATGTTTGAGGTTTTTCCTTTTTTCCTTCTTAGTTTAATTTTAGAAAGTGCTATCATCTACCCTCAGTTGATGGAAGTAGCAAGTTCACTGCTACTGCATGGCTTCTCTCTCATTTATCATTATTGGGGTGATGCCCCTCACCTGTGGAATCTGGAGGCAGTCCAGTATTGCTGGAGGCTGCAGAACTAAGCCCCCTTTCAGCTCAGACCACCAAATATTTTTAACTCCAGCTGCCGAACAGGTTGGCCTTTCAGTTTCTCCTGGCCAGATTGTTTCATAACTTCAATTTGTTTGTTTTCGTGTAGTGGTGACTTCATTTCAGCTTCTAGCTGCTCTCTCCATCTCCTGAGGTGAGGAATCACTGGAGCACTGAGTCTCTAACCTTTGTGTTCTCCGATAGAGCACCTCTCAGTCAGGCTCCTTTTGCCCCTCATAACAGCAAGTGATGATGCCCTGCAAGCATTGAGCCAAGTTAGAAGTGCCGTACGCAGCTTTTCAGGAGCCTCAAAGGGCAGCTTGTGCCCTGCTGCCACAAGCCGCTGACCCTTGTGCTCTGCCAGGACGTGGGCGTTGAGAGGGACAGGCATGTAGGGTCTCGACCCCTGCCAGAAGTTATTTCTCCACTGTGGGAGGTTCAACCAGGAGCATGTGAATTCCTGCAGAGAGAACTCCTCACAGCCTGCTCAGTTGTGAGCCTTGCAAACTCCAGAGACTTTGGGTTCCAAAAAACAAAAAATCATCCCTTCTTAATATAACAAGTCACATTGTTAGGTGGAATAAAAATCAGGGTTTAAACCCATTCTCCTTTGCCTTTCCATGCTGAGGAAGTCTTTGCTGGAGCTCTTGTCACAGAGTTGCATTTACAGTGCTGTGGAGAAGGCTAACTAGCGCCACCCTCACCTACGCTGCAGCATGCAGCCCGTCACTCCTGTAAAGCCATGCCTCAACCACCAGCTTAATGGGAATTGCACCTTTCTGGTTTTCAGACAATAGACCCTCACTCTGCCAGGGCATGGGGCTCAGGCTGGAAGGGGTCTCTCTTCCCCACTCTATAGGCTGGCTCCATGGGGGGGGGGGAGAATAGCTCAGTGGTTTGAGCATTGGCCTGCTAAACCCAGGGTTGTGAGTTCAATCCTTGAGGGGGCCACTTAAGGATCTGGGGCAAAATCAGTACTTGGTCCTGCTAGTGAAGGCAGGGGGCTGGACTCGATGACCTTTCAAGGTCCCTTCCAGTTCTAGGAGATGGGATATCTCCATTAATTTAAATTTAATTTAAAAAAAAATTAATTTTAAAGCATAAGCTGCACATCAAGCGGTCTGTGACCAGAACAGAGGTACATAAAGGTTACATTCCCCATGCAGCTGCACCATCATGAACCTGGATTCTTCCCCCACTGTCAGACGTCGCTTAGGGCACAAACAAGGCTTCACCGTTCCTGTCTGTGCTGGGCCACTGTCTAGATGTCCTCTACGTTGATAAGTCCCATAAGTTTCCCTCTCTGGGGCCTGGTCTACACTGGGAAGCAATGTTCCCTCTACGGTGTGCGGCAGCCCAAGAGTCAATCAAGTGCCGCGCACTTGGCACACTTGATTAGCAGAGCCGCGCACATCCGGCGACATGTTCAGGTGTCCTTCCCCCTGCTGCTCTGCAGACGCATTGCTCCTGCCCTCTGCCTTGGAGCCCCTGGCCAGTCGCTTCTGGGACCCGCCTTCTTGTTGTGCAGAGCCGAGGAGGAAGGGGGGGCGTGCTGAGGTCAGGGTGTGTCCCCCCACCCATGTACCCCATTTCCAAAGAGCAGAGGACGTGGGACAGGGCTGAGGACCAGGACAGAGCTGCTGGCAGCTGTTGCGGTCTGAATGAGCCTTCTGGTGAGTGCCTCTCTGCTTCAAGAAGAAACGGTAGCACGAGGACAATTGTGAGGAGGACGTGGACACAGACATTCCTGAAAGCACGGGATGTGGCAATTGGGACATCATGGCGGCAGTGGGGCTGGTTGATACAGTGGCACGCCGATTCTGGGCCTGGCAAACAAGCACAGACTGGTGGGACTGAATAGTGTTGCAGGTATGGGATGATTCCCAGTGGCTGGGAAACTTTCGCATGTGTAAGGCCACTTTCCTGGAACTCTGTGAGTTGCTTTCCCCCACCCTGAAGCGCAGGAATACCAAGATGAGAGCTGCCCTGACAGTTGAGAAGCGAGTGGCGATAGCCCTGTGGAAGCTTGCAACGCCTGACTGCTACCAGTCAGTTGGGAATCATTTTGGAGTGGGCAAATCTACTGTGGGGACTGCTGTGATTCAAGTAGCCAATGCAATCACTGACATTCTGCTATCAAGGGTAGTGACTCTGAGAAATGTGCAGGTCATAGTGGATGGCTTTGCTGCAGTGGGTTTCCCTAGCTGTGGTGGGGTGATAGACGGAACGCATATCCCTATCTTGGCACCGGACCACCTTGCCAACCAGTACGTAAACCGCAAGGGGTACTTCTCAATGGTGCTGCAAGCATTGGTGGATCACAAGGGATGTTTCACCAACATCAACGTGGGATGGCCAGGAAAGGTGCATGATGCTCGCATCTTTAGGAACTCCAGGCTGTTTGAACAGCTGCAAGAAGGGACTTACTTCCCAGACCAGAAAATTACTGTGGGGGATGTTCAAATGCCAATAGTTATCCTTGGAGACCCAGCCTACCCTTTGCTCCCATGGCTCATGAAGCCATACACAGGCAGCCTGGACAGTAGTAAGGAGCAGTTCAACTATGGGCTGAGCAAGTGCAGAATGGTGGTAGAATGTGCATTTGGACATTTAAAAGCTTGCTGGCTCTGTTTGCTGACTGGATGCGCTCAGGTCTAACCTAATCTTCCCATTGTTATTGCTGCTTGCTCTGTGCTCCATAATAGCTGTGAGAGTAACGGGGAGACTGCACTACCCCAAATTTGACCCAGAAAGCTATTTTAGCGCTACTCCCCTCAGCGGGGAGGAGTACCGAAGTCGATTTTAAGAGCCCTTTAGATTGACGGAACTGGGTTGGTTGTGTAGACACATTCATTATAAAATGGACTTAACATGGCTTAATTCAACCTAACCCCGTAGTGTAGACCAGGGCTTAGTTACTAAATGAAGTTCTGAATGGTATTAGATAATTACTAAAATATTAACATGGGTATTAGGCAGCTGGGCGAGTAAGCAGGCATCCTTTCAGGCTCCCAGTGACATCTGTCAGGCCACTCCCACAATCAAGGTATTTGTCCTTGATTAGGTAGTCCCCAGGCCAACATGAAAGTATGCTACTTCTCACCTGTAAACAGCCTAGGTAAATACCCTATGCATACACATGTGCATGCTTCCTTCCCGTTTGCCTCTCCTCTCTTTCCCCTGCCCTCTCCCCCACCCCTCTCAGCCAGACTCTTCCAGGATAGGATGCCAGTGGTTTGGCAAAGAACTCATTCCTGAGGACACCTCTAAAGACGTAAGGTCAAATAAAGACTTATTAAACCAAACTAAACTAAAATACTACATAAAAACTTAGACATTTCCTAAGTTTTAGGAGACACTATTAGTTGGAATAGCAGTAGCACCACCATAGTTACACCTTTTGATGGGGACTTCTTTCAGAAAGGTTCCACAGACCATAAGAATGAGGACACATCACATCAATTTCAAAGTCACAGCCGTTCAGACCAAAAGCATTTCCTGTGCTTAGTAAAGAAACCTACTTGGTGACAAGCAAGTGGCTCCTAACTTAGTGTAGTGACTACATGGTCAGTGCTGCTTTCAGAAGACGAGCCTGGAAGCAGTGCTACACTCATGAATAGCAAGCAATTATCCATGAATAGCTGTCATCTTAAACAGATATTTTAGTGCATCCAAACCTACAGGTGAGGAGCTGTTTGGGAAAACATCAGAGAAATTAGTAGCCGAGTTTGCAGTGAGACCTCAATCCTCACGATCAAAGCCAGCATAGCAATCTATTGATCACTGTCAATGTGTCAAGGC